TTATTGTAGTTTAATTAGTGGCGTTGATGTGTTAATAATGTCTCAAATCATTGAGTTTTTTAAGACCGTCAACCCATTTTCCTAGTTTGATCCTTCAGACCGTCCGTAGTTCCAGACTCTGAGACTGTAACTCATTCGGACACGTTTTAAATGGTACGACGTTCCTCTGTCGGCTCTCCTGATAAAACCAGTTATTTCCAGCTGCTGCAGCGCCATGAATTTGTTTATCACTGAAGAACGTCTAAAGTAAGGAGAACCCCTCGCTGACGCTGCAGTATCAGTAAAGGACAGACGCTCAGAGGAGAACTATGGGTAAATCAACCAGCAGCAAACTAACAGCAGCAGCAGCTTGGTGGAGCTGCGGTTCCCATCGAGAACCTCCTCCGTAACAAGAACCCATGAGCTGAATGAACGAGAGCAAGAGATAGAATCACACAGGAGCTGGACCACTGACTGTATGTAAGATATATATGCTTAGTGACTGTATATGATATATACACTCATTGACTGTATGTATATTTATATATGTATATATATATGTATATATACACAAATGTATCTTATGATATACACGCTCACTGACTATATACGATAGATACACTCAGTGACTACATATATAATATATAAGATATACATGCTCATTGACTATATATATAATATATACGATCACTGACTGAATGTTATACATGATAAATAAACGCTTGTTTACTATCATAATATATATTATATATACACTCATAGACTATATGACTGACCTTATACAGTATATGATAAAAAATATAGGATAACTTGTTGACTGTATACATGTGTGTATATATATACAGTCAACAAGTTGACACTGTTGCTCTCACTGGACGTTGATAAATTGGAAACTGGTCACTCTGTGGAGATCAGAGGTCTTCATGTTCAGCTCATTGGGTTCCCTCATGTAGTTATGAGTTGTAGTTTAGGGTCTAGTTTGAGCAAATAAGACAAATCGATTAATTGTTATTAATTATTTTAAACGTGACAAACAGAATCCTCCACAGCTCAGTCTCCTCTCAGCTGTGAGAGTCAGTGAGTCACTCTCTCCCTTTATTCCAGCTTCCATTCTGTTCAGGAGACTCACTTTCAGCTCCTCTAAGAATCTGCAGACACACCTCCAAAGTTCAGTCTTAGAAGCTGGTTGATCATTTTCTGAAGTGATCAAACACATTCAGTGGTGTTGAGGTCTGGACTCTGTGTATGTATGTGAGCTCTTATTCTGATAAACAGCTTCATCAACACCTCCTGCTCACCACCTCACCTCATTAAAGCACATTAAAATCACAATAAACTCACTGAACTTCAGCCTGCAGACTTCAGAGACGCCAGGTGACTCATTATATTATATTATATCAGTGAGGGTTAAATATAGACCACAGATACAGCACGAAGGTCAGAGATCAGCCTTCAGTTCATTTACTGTCACAAACAGCAACGTTCAACAGCGAGTCTACGTTCCTCATTTTTCAGATGTTCGTGAGGAGATTAGATATGAGAGAATCCACTTTCACAATTAAGGAGAAAGTTAGAGCTCAGAAACTGATTTAAAGCTCCAGAGAAAATGGGGCTCCTAACAACCACCTGGAAGAGCTGGGAGACCCCAAAACTGCCCCATCAGATAAACAGCACTTAAAGCTTTCATCTCTGAGAGAGAGGAGAAAATCAAGCTGATCAGATCTGAAAACATCCACAGGTGTTTCTGTCCATCCTTCCACTGTGAGAAGACGACTCAGCGCTGTGGGTCTGAAAGGATGTGTAGCTGATCAAGAAGAACCTCACTGAGAAAAGGAGAACATCTCTAGAACACTGAAATTACATATCTGAGATGTGGAGGGAGGTTTTATGGACTGATGAGTCTGAATTTGGGAAGATATTCGTTCTACAGTACGATCCATTGCTCTGAGAACTCCAGCAGCTTCTGCGTCTGGATCTCCCCAGCAGTGTGTCTGGGGTTGTTACTGTGCCGTGTAATGAATTTCCTCCCAGTCAGAGGGAGCTGGATGATGGATGATGGATTATAATTTGTTTGTAATGATCAGCATTCATGACGTCTTCAATCAGAAACAAGCCACCGTCTCCAGATGACGCTCTGCATCTCCAGATACTCCACCATGATTGACTGATGGTTTGAAGAGTCCTTTATTACTTCATCGCTGCACATACTGCCTTCTGTTCCTACCAGATACCTCAAATCGAGACCCCTCGGTATGGAGTTACATCAGTGTCACCAGAACCTGAACCTGAATTCGTAGTGTTGAACCTGAATTCATGATTCTGAACCTGATTCTGAATTTGTGATGTTGAACTTGAATTCATGATTCTGAACCTGAACCTGATTCTGAACCTGAATTGGTGATTCTGAACCTGAATTCATGATTCTGAACCTGAATTTGTGATTCTGAACCTGATTCTAAACCTAAATTTGTGATTCTGAACCTGAATTTGTGACGCTGAACCTGAATTCCTGATGCTTTTTCAGGTTGAGAAATTCAGGCTGTGAAATGTCAGGTTCTGGTGACACTGATTTAACTCCAAACATCAGTTTATAAAACCTCCCTCCACATCTCAGATATGTAATTTCAGTGTTCTAGAGATGTTCTCCTTTTCTCAGTGAGGTTCTTCTTGATCAGCTACACATCCTTTCAGACCCACAGCGCTGAGTCGTCTTCTCACAGTGGAAGGATGGACAGAAACACCTGTGGATGTTTTCAGATCTGATCAGCTTGATTTTCTCCTCTCTCTCAGAGATGAAAGCTTTAAGTGCTGTTTATCTGATGGGGCAGTTTTGGGGTCTCCCAGCTCTTCCAGGTGGTTGTTAGGAGCCCCATTTTCTCTGGAGCTTTAAATCAGTTTCTGAGCTCTAACGTTCTCCTTAATTGTGAAAGTGGATTCTCTCATATCTAATCTCCTCACGAACATCTGAAAAATGAGGAACGTAGACTCGCTGTTGAACGTTGCTGTTTGTGACAGTAAATGAACTGAAGGCTGATCTCTGACCTTCGTGCTGTATCTGTGGTCTATATTTAACCCTCACTGATATAATATAATATAATGAGTCACCTGATGTCTCTGAAGTCTGCAGGCTGAAGTTCAGTGAGTTTATTGTGATTTTAATGTGCTTTAATGAGGTGAGGTGGTGAGCAGGAGGTGTTGATGAAGCTGTTTATCAGAATAAGAGCTCACATACATACACATCATAAACCGCCTCTTCACTCTGCTCTTCCTCACCTGTGCGAGTGGGAAGTTCCTCGTTATAATTGGTTTGTTTTTGTTAGATCAGATTCTCTCTGTAGGTCTGTGTCCGTTCTTCTTTAATGATCTAATTACTGTGTTAAAAGTTAGTGTTTTTGTTGATTTGGGTAATGGTGGTGCATTGTTGTACTGTTGAATATTAAAGTGCTGAATCCTGATTGGCTGAGGTTACACAGGTTTCTCAAAGCTAAAGTTTCTGTAACCAGCTGGCTTGTTTTGCTATCCAGTGTCAGCCAGAGGAAGCTGAGTTGAGTCGAGGTTACTCTCATAGTTTCTTCTCTTGCTCTAAGGTTTTGTTCTTGGCGACGCCCATGGGGGCTCGGGCAGGGATTTCGTGTGAAGCTGCTTCGTGACGACGCCTGATGTAAACAGTGCTGTGAAACTAAACTTGGACCTGACTTCACTCTGAGAGTTGGGAACAGCTGCAAGGTTTGGAGAGGAGTGATCAGATATCAGGGGGTTGAGCATCAAATGAGAGCAGACTGTGACTTCTGACCCTCTCAGAACACCAGCTTACCATCACAAACACACCTTATACTGTTTTTTAGCATTCCTGGAACAGCATCAGTCTGTAGCCTTCCTCACAAGCCTTTTCCGCACAAGCGCTGGGAACACAAGTTGCCTGCAGCCATTATTGGTGAAGGTTTCTCGTTCTCCTCCGCCCGTGGCTGTGGGCTTCTGTAAGGTTGCTCTCTTTAGTCCCTGAAGACAGAAGGAAATCTAAATTAGCAGCAGCATCTCACGGAATATACAATTAAATCCACAAACTATTTACAAACGAGTGAACGTCCCGCAGTTTAAACTGGATCATTTATTGAAGAGCCTGTGCGCTAACATAGCTAGCCCGCTAGTAAAGTTAACTTGCCTTAGCTTCGTGTAATGCGTTACACGCTGCAGTCTGTCCGGTCGTGTTTTGGCCATTTCTGTTTTTAGTTGTTCATCTGATGGAACTGGTACACTTCCATTGTAATCAGTCCACACCGGCCGCACTAGACAAGTCTTAGGTCCGTCAAAACGCCAGCCCTTCTGACCTGCCATGCTTTGTTGCATGTAGAGCCACGTAGAGTGAAACTCCAGAGATCCATTCTAAACGATTTTGCTCTTGCTTGTCCTGTAGTAGGGGTTAATTGGGGTTTGCAGGGGTTTAGAGGAGGTTCAGTCAGGTTTGCAGGGGTTTGGTGGGTTTTACAGGGGTTTACTGAGGTTTGCAGGGATTTAGTGGCGTTCCTGAGGGTTTGCAGGACTTTCTGGACCTCCCAAGACTGATTTAAGTTGTGATCTTATTTAGGTGGAACTCTTGCTCTACAGGTTTCCCAAGAACTTTGTAAACATCCTGAGGACCAAGCTGACAGTAGGGAGACTGATCAAAGCATACAGCAGAACTGTGCTGCTTTAACATCCCTGAAAATGTCCTTTACCAGTGGTCATCTATGTCCAGCCTAAATGTCCAACCTTCACCATCTTAGACATCATCCAGTTTCCCACCTGTACATCCAGTCTTCTCCATCTTATGTGTCCTCCAATTCTGCACCTAAATGTCCAAACCTGCAATGCCCCATCTGCAGTGGTGAGGTTTACAGGGTTTCGCAGGGGTTCAGTGGAGTTCATTTGGCTTTGGTCAAGTTTGGTGGGGTTTGGGCAGGTTAGTGGGGGTTGCGGGGATTCGGTGGGGTTTGGTGGGAGTCGATAGAGTTTCATCAGGTTCACAGTTTTTTGGTGGGGTT